TATAACGTTTATATTAAATTGTCCCGGCGCCTCCACCAAAATTTTCAATAAAAATTATTGATGATTACTGTTAACGTTTGTGAATCTTCGTAACCATTTAATTTTTGAAATTACTACAATAGTTTACAACAAAAATTAACTGAAGCACTAAGTAAAAGCTAATTTACCAGGTTTGAATAAAAATGTGTAAAGGTTTTCAATCAATTTTACAAGGAGACGTCTTTAAAAATATTACTAAATAATTAATTATTTCTAAGTAATATTAAGTATTTTTTGAGGATAGTATTGAGTTTCATTTGAAAAAGGTATTCTGATGACAAAAAACGTTTTCTAATTTTCTTTGTAATTACATTTGTAAAGTTGTAATTTTTGCTGCAAGTTTCGGTTGTCTATATACTATATTACAAATTGCTGTTTAATTGTACTTAGACAACTAATTATTATTTCTAACTGTGTTTACACAGATAAAATATAATTTAATCGTGAAAATTTATCGATTTACGTCAATGACACCGAAATTATGCGAACGAAATCGTACAAAAATTCAATCCATCGAGTTACTTTTAAGGAAGTTTAATCGACGATTACAAACTTTGTAATCTTTTTTGCATGTATAATTAACTACTAGTTAATGAAAGTACTGGAAGTTTTGAGTCAGTACGAACTTGTTAGTACGAAAATGGCCAAACATTAAAACGAAGGAGTTCACTATAAACGAAATCAAGGAAAGTTTCGTGAAATATCTAAAGATTTAAACATAGGTGTGGAAAAATTAATGCTTCTGGTTACGAACAAACAATTATGTCTGTTCTCTTATTTTTATAGAGTAGCGTCGTGCTCTGCGTGTGTGAAATCGACAATTACGTGTCTGAAATAGGCCGTTGTCATAATTAAGAAAAGTTTGTTCAGTTCGAGAAGTTTGGAAAATTATATTTACCACGTACGTTTAGTTCTAAAAGCATTTTCATCTTTTCTTCTCTATTTTCTATCGGTTTCCTCACTTACAAAATATTAAAGTTTTTCCCACTTTATTATCACAGAGTTTTTAAAAATTTATCCTCTCGGGCGTCCTACTTTTGTTATAATAATAGAACGAGTTTTGATATTGACAATTGTAGAAATGATGGATGTTAAATTAATTAAGTATTGTTAGTTAGTTTTAAAGATTAAAAATCATACTTTTCTATATCTATCGTACCTATCTTTCTTCTATACGTCTGCCTATAAGCGATTTTACGTGATGCACAGGTACATACGTACGAAAAAGAGCTTTCTTCTTCTTTGAAATTTGGGATAGGTGTCAGGTAGCCCTTTTTATATGTAAATTTCTGCGGGGATGCCTTTCAAAAAACGTTTACGGATCTGCCGTTTTTCTGTTCACGTATCTGCATACAACATGTTGGACCTTTGTTACCTTGTTTAAATATTAAATATACAAGTAGGTAGATATATAAAAATATGAAAACGCATGTTTTACAATTAGATCGATTTTCTTGTGTTCTTCGTATGAGTTGGAACTTTTTCTGTTTTTCATTTGCACAATTACTGTGTTAAAGCATTTTCAGTACGTTCATTACAGCGGAGATCATAAAGTATTTTTTATTGCTGTTGTATTATAAAGATCCGCGGGGTGGGTGTGAAGAAATTTAATTTCGTACTATACCAGAAATACAATGTAAATGTAGATAAATAATAAAAGACATTCGCCCCTAATTACCACAAGTAATTTTTAAAAAACAGATACGTGTTTTGAATATCCGCAAGTTACGTGGGGGGGGTAACGTTCTCCATTTTTATAGGGAAAGGGAATTTCAATTTTCGTTTTACTTTTTATATAATTATTGACAACTGTTTATCTGGCAACAACCTTAAATATTTAATTTTTCATTTCCACACTTCGTCTCTCTTCCCGAAATTAATTTTAACTTTAAAAGCAGTTCGTCTTTATTTAAAAGTGGAAATGTTTTGCCATAAGTATATAAAATAAGTACTGCTAAAGGGTGCATGTGTGTATTGTAACAATGTCGAATACGTTACATTGTTCTTGGTACAGAAAGGGGGTGTTTCAGATGTATATTGCATATACCATTAATTAAGTTTAGCAGTTAACGGACAATTTTCGCAAAGACCCAATAAATTGAATTTACGGTGTTAGACGCATTGCCCGTAAAAAACTACTACAGGAACACAATGAAATTCGTACAAGCTCGATTTGATCGTAATTTAATTTGTAATACATTTTAGGAAGCGTCTCCTCTTACTATCAATGAGTTTATTACTGGATTATTTGCTGATCTGAAGTAAATATAAATCTCTTAATTATGCACAGATCCTACATATATTGTTATAATTAATCATAAATTAGAGTAAAATAGTATGAATGAATAAACGTAGAAAAGGTAATTTGAAAAAGTCACAAGTTATTTACTTGTTAAAAATAGAACAATTTAATTGCCTTTATACTTGGAAATATTTATTTTACCTACATTTTAAAGTTTTATTGTGGAACGTCATTTTCTGTAGGAATCTACAAGTATATAGTTTATTAGGATTCTTCGAGAAGGATCTATCTAGAACTATATAGCTCAATAGTAGTTGTTGGTTATTTAGAAAACTGCCGTACCGACATCGGAATCGATTAGAGAAATCTTTTACATTTTAACTATTACCTACTAGATGGCGCTCAGTGCACAGCTTCCCGATTTTGGTGTAATATTGGTTGCCTATAGTTTAAAAACAAGTTTGTGAATTATTCTTCCACGCCACTTTGACAGTTGATTCAAGATGGCCGGTCACCAAGATGTTTGCGTTGATAGGACTGTGCGGCTTGGAATTTGTAGGTGTGTCAGGTCTTGTAAATAAAATAAGCACTTTATTCAACTAAATGTAATTGTTGCTATGTTTCCGTGTAATGTTTGGTGGTCCCGAACGTGTCCCTGATAGTTTTTAAGTTAATACACGGGCGAGTTCCATCGGAGGGTTAGAATTGATTGCTTGTTGGTTGGTTGTAATAATTTGGAAGGGTGTACTTGTGTTTTTTGAAAACGTGAAAATGTGGAATATGATGTGCGACGTTATGCCGACCATTTCGGAGGACAGCATTAGTCAAAGGAGCTCCCAATTTTCTAGTGAAGACGCCAATTTCGAACAGTTAATGGTGTCTATGTTAGACGAGCGAGACAAGTTGATGGACAGTTTGCGGGAGACGCAGGCACGTCTTTCGGATACTGAAATCAAATTAACAGAAGTCGAAAAAGAACGGGATTCACTCCATAGGCAGATTGCAGCAAACCTTCCCCAGGTACATACGAAAGTTTTTTATATGTTGCAATTTTGTTGCGATCTTATAACTATTGTATTTTCATGCGCCCTAACTAATTTTGAATGCATTAGATACTTTATGTGGTGTCCCCCAATTTACGTGTGCGGATATTATATAGATATATACATACGTATATAAAGTAGGTATCTCTACCTAGCACCTACCACCCGAATTAGTTGCTGTATCGATTTCGAGAACGATGGTGTTTTTGAGCATCAAGATTCCCTTTAAACGCCACTATTTGTTGTAACTGCATTTTTTTTATTATTTCATTCAAAATCCCTAGTTAATATTAATATCTATATTTCTCAACTAATTGTAAATATGAAGAGCTTGACATTTGAGTGGCTTTCGTTTTTGATTTTGATCGAATGTGACAATCCATTTAAATATACCCATTTAAATTGTTTTAAAAAATATTCTTAAAAGTTTGCAGCGTTGACAGTATTATTTTGGGAAAATATTTATGTACTTTAATGGCATCTGCTTCTTTTCGTGAATGAAAAATCAAATAAAAATTAAGTGGGACCTCATAACTGCCTTGATTTACAAAATACATATAAATCAAGTATATAATGTCTAATTAAGTATATTGGGTAATATAAAATACATAGGTGTAGTCATGATCATATTTGCAATAGAAAGTAAGTTCGTCTACCTACATATCAAAAAAGCACGCGTTTTTCATTCACAATGAATTAATGAAATATATGTACTATTTTATTTTTGTAATTAAGACCGTTTTTAAAAGCATTCTAAAATTACTAGGTTTTCTCTTTTTTCTGTAAAGTTTTCATTTGTTTCTCTGTTGTTCGTTAAGTAGTAGAAAAAGAAATAACGTTGGATACTCTTGTCCGTTATAAAGGTTATTAATTACGGGGTGAAGACGTTATGGAGGGGGAAGATTTGAAGCGCCGCGACGCCTTCTGTGTCAGTTGGCGCTTAAAATTGAGAGAGGAATAGCGTCTAAATGACGGGACACTCGCAATGTATCGTGTTAACTAAAGCGGATTTTTTTCGAAAATCATACACTTTTGAATATCCAGAACGTTTAAAGTCACCGAAATTATTTTTGTCAGTAATTCACATAAATGTGTGTTTTTTTTAAGATATAGTTTATTTTTGGTGCACTGCAACGAGTGCTATTTCGGGAACATATGCAGCCTGCATTGTGCACATAATTAAGCTAATCATACAGGGTCTCAATAAAATGTTGGATTTTTTCAAAATTAAAAGAAGAATGTCAAAAGCAAAATTTATTATTCACTATTGGTTTTTGTGTTTTTTAATAAGTCGTTCTTGTGGATGGAACTAACATTGGAATGCCAATATTAAAAATTGCAGAGAAATGTCTGTGTCTGTAGGGAATTTAAACAATACGGAAATTTAAAATTCATTATCTGCGAATTTTCTCATAGAAAGGTGTCGTCCACTTTTTCTTGTAGGTAATACGTTAATTTAATAAGTATTAGTTTGGTTCAATTAATTTAATAAGTGGAAATGGAGGGTTATTGAAAATATATTTTTTTAGTTACTACATAATTATGTTACCTTCCAATATCAATAACAACAACAATAACAAAAGCATTAGTAATAATATAAACAGTGTAATTGTGAATGAGAACAATTCAAGAAGCGGCTTTTGGTTTTTGCTATTGCATAAGGACAACCAGATAGTTCAAGGGTTTCTTAAAGAACACGGTAACGAGTACATAAGGCAATTTCTTCAGGTGGGTTGGTAAACAAAAAAAATGTACTTTTTTGCAGTATGTTACACACTGCAAAGTCCGATCCGTTGTTGTCTTTTTCCGGAGACGCGATGCGATGTACCTATTATTTTTCAATCGACTGCTTTTCCGCTTACAAACCGCTCATCCGCAATCAACTGTTTAAAACCAATCAACTTTAAATAATAATCAATCAATGAGTACAATCGTTTTCACTTGAACGAGTAAATCAAGTGGAAATTAAAACTAGCCTGTCGCAATAAAAATATACACTACATTTACTCATTATTAGACATTTAATAGAAAAAGAAAAATCAAACTTTTGCTAGTTACATTTTTTCTTCTGCTTCACATACTTTGTTTCGATTTGACTTTAATAAAAGTCCCTTAAAGCAAGATGAGTAGAGGCGTGTCTGTGTGTGTGTACATGTACTATATGTGTAAGGAATCCTGTATACATCCGTAATCGATTTTATTTTTTGTCATTCTTGCTCGTAATTGAAAGAAGAGCTGCAAGTATCGCGTTTATCACGTTCTATATTACTCGACCTTAGCTATTGTTATCCATAAGCAAGTAGACTCTTCAAATTCATCAAAAATAACGAGGGAAATAGAAAAGATGATATGCATTGTTTTATATAGACGAAAGCGTATATGCTGAGTGCAGCGAGAGAAACTATTGTTAGATTTTCTTAAACGGTTGGATTAATTTTGCAAACTCCTGTATGTAATTTTATCGGGTTGTTGCGGTCATTTACCTTTGGATTTTTTCCAATTTTTTGGTCTTAATTCGTTAATAACGCTCAGTTCACCTATCTGTCTCTCTCTTTCATCTTTTTTTTTTCTTTCTTTTTCAGGCTTAATAACGTTCGTTTTTAATTTTGTATTTTCTTGTTGGAAGTTTAGTCTGTTTATTATAGTATTACTCGTATGTTTGCTTGCATATATTGGCGGTAGGGTACGCTTTTATAAGATAATTAACATTAATTAATTTAACCCCCAGGAATTCGCCACGTTAACGAAAGAACTAAACGCAGCACGGGAACAACTTCTTGAGAGGGAGGAAGAAATATCGGAACTAAAAGCTGAAAGGAATAATACTAGAGTGAGTTTGTTTTCCGCATTTATTATTATTATTAAATCTATTAGATTTCGTTTACTTACCTACTACTATTGTTTACATAGTATTTTATAACCTGTGCATCTTATTTGTTTACATTCGAATAAGATAGGTAATGGCTGTGGTATTGTATTTCTATTGATTCTTTTGGTTTGGTTAAAGATTCTTTGATGTCTACAAAGACTAAAACGTTTTTCATAATTAGACAAGTATTTTAGACAATAACTTACATACCCTATGTTTTATCATTACTAAATCGAGTAAATTATTACAAACCTGTGTGATGGTGTATGATCAACATTTAGTGATTAATTTGTGACTTGATATGGACAGAGAAAACAATTAATTGACAAATGAATAAGGCCAATTTAGTCCGTTTGTTATTATCCATGCCTGTTGGCGGTATAATTTAAATTAATAAATAATTGTATTTATAATCATTCCTGAAATATTCACTATGGTTTCGGTTAGTACCATTATTTAAATAGTTTTCAGTAACTTACCGAAATGGTTTTGTTTGTTTTTTGGTAGAATAGCAAATCTGTTTAATTCTTTGGCCTTGTTAGTTAGGATCCATCTTGAAAATTTCAAACAGAACAATAGAAATGCAACAATAGATATGGCAAAATATAGTGTCATGAGTACCTACAAAATTTTGCCGGTAGATTAATTTAATTAATCATAGAAAACTATATTTGCCGTTCCTTTTTTATTTCTAAAATAACTGTATTTTTGTATTTATTTACTTTATCATTTTTGTGCATTTATATTAAGAGAATTGTATTTCCGAAGCATCCGACCTGTACTTTGGTTAGGGTTTTATTGACGCTGTAAGTTGGTACCTCTTTGTTATTTTAGTAAATTTTTCAAAATGGTTTCTTAATTGTTACAATTTTAACAACTAATTTTTGTACTGTGTTCATTTAAAATTTTAATTATTTTTTGTCGGTAGCTGTTATTAGAACATCTAGAATGTCTGGTATCACGACACGAACGTTCACTGAGGATGACGGTGGTGAAGCGTCAAACGGCCGCTCAATCAGGCGTTTCATCCGAAGTAGAAGTTTTGAAAGCCTTAAAAAGCCTGTTTGAGCATCACAAAGCATTGGACGAAAAGGTAACTGATAATTGTAGTTGTATATTTTTCCTGAAGATATTTAATAAAATCAATGATGAACAATAAATTTTTTTAGGTGAGAGAAAGACTACGGGTTGCGTTAGAAAGAAATTCTGTATTAGAAGAAGAATTAGCTAGTACCAAAGAAGAAGTGAGTAAAAATCCATTTTGACTGTAATGAATTGTGTAGATGAATAACTATTTGTAGCTACAACAATATAAGTTAGGAGGCCCTCCGCCAAATATAACAGCAATTGAAGAAAAACCCAAAGAAAATGGACAAGCAGATTCAGGGGACCAAGTAAATAATTCAAATAATAAGGTATGAAACTTTTGAATTAGTTTATGTAATCAAGCACATGTTTGTTTTGTTGTTCCGCTGTTTAGACGGCGACCGCCTTAAAGAATGCTTTGAACATCAGCACCGGGCCGCGATTAACCAATGGTAGTCTAGGAGTCTCCGAAAACAGCAGCGGCGTTGAAGGGAGTACCAGCTTAGATTCTGTTGCCCGGATTGCAGATCTACAAGCCGCCTTGGAGCAACAGGTGGACTATTCTTTAAACATTACATTTTTGCATGAGTTTAAAATGTTTAGAAAATTACACTTACATGTTTGGATAGCTTTTTNTCGGAACTAAAAGCTGAAAGGAATAATACTAGAGTGAGTTTGTTTTCCGCATTTATTATTATTATTAAATCTATTAGATTTCGTTTACTTACCTACTACTATTGTTTACATAGTATTTTATAACCTGTGCATCTTATTTGTTTACATTCGAATAAGATAGGTAATGGCTGTGGTATTGTATTTCTATTGATTCTTTTGGTTTGGTTAAAGATTCTTTGATGTCTACAAAGACTAAAACGTTTTTCATAATTAGACAAGTATTTTAGACAATAACTTACATACCCTATGTTTTATCATTACTAAATCGAGTAAATTATTACAAACCTGTGTGATGGTGTATGATCAACATTTAGTGATTAATTTGTGACTTGATATGGACAGAGAAAACAATTAATTGACAAATGAATAAGGCCAATTTAGTCCGTTTGTTATTATCCATGCCTGTTGGCGGTATAATTTAAATTAATAAATAATTGTATTTATAATCATTCCTGAAATATTCACTATGGTTTCGGTTAGTACCATTATTTAAATAGTTTTCAGTAACTTACCGAAATGGTTTTGTTTGTTTTTTGGTAGAATAGCAAATCTGTTTAATTCTTTGGCCTTGTTAGTTAGGATCCATCTTGAAAATTTCAAACAGAACAATAGAAATGCAACAATAGATATGGCAAAATATAGTGTCATGAGTACCTACAAAATTTTGCCGGTAGATTAATTTAATTAATCATAGAAAACTATATTTGCCGTTCCTTTTTTATTTCTAAAATAACTGTATTTTTGTATTTATTTACTTTATCATTTTTGTGCATTTATATTAAGAGAATTGTATTTCCGAAGCATCCGACCTGTACTTTGGTTAGGGTTTTATTGACGCTGTAAGTTGGTACCTCTTTGTTATTTTAGTAAATTTTTCAAAATGGTTTCTTAATTGTTACAATTTTAACAACTAATTTTTGTACTGTGTTCATTTAAAATTTTAATTATTTTTTGTCGGTAGCTGTTATTAGAACATCTAGAATGTCTGGTATCACGACACGAACGTTCACTGAGGATGACGGTGGTGAAGCGTCAAACGGCCGCTCAATCAGGCGTTTCATCCGAAGTAGAAGTTTTGAAAGCCTTAAAAAGCCTGTTTGAGCATCACAAAGCATTGGACGAAAAGGTAACTGATAATTGTAGTTGTATATTTTTCCTGAAGATATTTAATAAAATCAATGATGAACAATAAATTTTTTTAGGTGAGAGAAAGACTACGGGTTGCGTTAGAAAGAAATTCTGTATTAGAAGAAGAATTAGCTAGTACCAAAGAAGAAGTGAGTAAAAATCCATTTTGACTGTAATGAATTGTGTAGATGAATAACTATTTGTAGCTACAACAATATAAGTTAGGAGGCCCTCCGCCAAATATAACAGCAATTGAAGAAAAACCCAAAGAAAATGGACAAGCAGATTCAGGGGACCAAGTAAATAATTCAAATAATAAGGTATGAAACTTTTGAATTAGTTTATGTAATCAAGCACATGTTTGTTTTGTTGTTCCGCTGTTTAGACGGCGACCGCCTTAAAGAATGCTTTGAACATCAGCACCGGGCCGCGATTAACCAATGGTAGTCTAGGAGTCTCCGAAAACAGCAGCGGCGTTGAAGGGAGTACCAGCTTAGATTCTGTTGCCCGGATTGCAGATCTACAAGCCGCCTTGGAGCAACAGGTGGACTATTCTTTAAACATTACATTTTTGCATGAGTTTAAAATGTTTAGAAAATTACACTTACATGTTTGGATAGCTTTTTAGGATCAGGTTTTGTCTTTTTATTGAGTGTTTGATTTGTTGATAGTTTAATGCTTTATTACGGTCGTTTCTTACTGTTTAAAAAATAATGTATAAAGTTTAATTACTTTTATAACTATATATTAAAAGTTCATTTTTTTATACTTTTTATTATGTCTGGTTGTATTTTTATTTTCAAGCAGCAACATATTCGACCTTTTACCCTTTTGAAAACCAGTCACGTATATATCTTTCATTATATCTCTCTTTTTATTTTGTTGCTTCAAAGTGATAAGTCTTTCATTGTACATATGTATTTTTTTTTTAATTATTGTTGTTTTTAGACGAACGAGATAAGTACATGGCAAAGGCGAGTGGCAGAGATGACCAGTCGTGTAGGTGAGTTGGAGGAAACTTTGGCAAAGACACAGAAGGAACTCCTGAAAGCACAGGAAACAAACGCCAAGTTGCAGAGGGATTTGCAGGAGAACGTGGCACAAAAGGAGGATCAAGAAGAACGGATCGCAACGCTAGAGAAGCGCTATTTGAACGCCCAAAGGGAATCGACGTCTCTGCATGATCTTAACGAAAAGCTCGAGCAAGAATTGCAAAACAAAACTGCACAATTGAAGGTTTGTTGTTGACAATATTTTTGTTAATCATTATGTTGTACAGAGTAATTAAAATATATAAAAGAAATGTTATAATGTTAGAAACAATGTAAGTAATGTTGTGAATGTTTTAATGGTTCTATCATATTTCTCGAATGTTTCGTTTTATTTTTTTTTTTTGCACTCTGTTAAACACATTTTTGATGTATTGATAGTATTAATATTCCTTTTCTTATTCACGTTTTGGAATTTGTTGTAATATAATATTATTATTTTTCTCGCACCATTTCTTCCTGCGACTTATCCAAAACAATGTTACTTACGGCAGAAAATTAAACCTGTCTTGTTCCCTTTTATTTTGCATCATTGTTTTTTTTATGCGTGCTGTTAATGTAATTTGGTTTTGGTGGTCAATGATTGTGTGAGTTATTAATTAAATTTTCCTCTTTGTGGAAATTTCAGTTCGCTTGGAACAAAGTAGACAGCGTAAGCTCTTCCCAGATACTTGTGCATTTATCTTAATACCAGCTGCACTTCACACTGCAGAGCTTTATTACTCCCTTTTAAGCGTGTTTTTTTAAGCATGCTCTATTTATTTATTTTTACAGTTAGTGTATGCATTTTATGATATTATTGGCTTATTATCTTCACTTCCCCCCTCCCCTTACTTTCCTTATGGATACGAAGTTACCTACGACTAACATTAATTGATTATTTTTACCCCGGTAACGTTTGAATAACAATTAAATGAAAATAATTATAACGCGGCTTTATTGTTAGTTTGGGCTGACGTTCTTCAGAAGGATGTCTCCTGGAAAAAATTTGTTGTTTTGCTTTGTTATTTTAATAGCACTATGTTGCAGTTACAAGAGGAAAAGATCGCCGCTATTCAAGAGAAGCTTGAATTGGCAGAGCAAAAACTGTCGCAATATTCGATGTTGCCTGAGATGGAGGAACAGCTGAAGCAGAGAATGGAAGCTCTGACACAGGTGAGACCGCAGGTATGAGAAGTTTTTGTTTATTTATAACTAGAAATGCTATTGTTGTTGTGTTGCTGTGATCTCATTAAAATTTACATGATCCTTTCCAATTTTGTTGCTTGATTTCGTCCACTTCCTAAAGGCACTTCTGTCCAATTATTTCCGCATTTTAGTCTTATTTAGTTATTTGTGTCATGTTGAATATTTATTCTTTTTTAAAAATATTTTTGTTTTTTATTTTCTGTGAAGGCTCAAGAACGGCACGGCTCGGCCGAAGACCGTATTCAGCGGCTCGAGGCGAATTTGGATGAGAAAAACGCAGAATTGGTTCGTCTTAATCAGCGACTCAAGATGAATGAAGAACACAACAGTCGCCTCTCGGCCACCGTTGACAAACTCCTGTCCGAATCGAACGACCGTCTCCAGGTGCATCTGAAAGAACGTATGCACGCGTTGGAGGAGAAAAATAGTCTTACTCAGGAACTCGAAAAAACACGTAAAGTGATGGAAGAGCTCGAAATGCAAAAGACGGAAATTATGAAGGAACTAGCGAAATCGAGACTAGAGATCGATAACGTAAAACGACAAATGTTGCAACAAGAGATCGCGTTCAACATCCAACAGACAGATGCGTTGACTCGGAGTCTGTCACCAAATGCTACCCAACAGCAGCAGGACGTAGTTGGAGGTTCGAATGCAACTATCGCAAACAGTTTCACACGGAGTTCTAGTCATACGAGTTTCGAAGCTCACTCGGCGTCGTTGCCACGACGAAGCACCGTTAAAAGTCGAACGCCCGTTGATGACGATCCTAATAAGGTAAATAGACACCCCATTTTGTCTTTTAGCGTTTAATGATCATTTATTTATTCCGCTTTTAAGGTGAATTTTGCAACCCGTTCGATGACGGAGCAAGAATGGGAGAAGCTTCAGCAAGCTCACGTGTTGGCCAATGTACAGCAGGCTTTCGACGTCTCGAGCGATGCTGAAGGAGACGATAACGACAGTTTGTTCAGTACAGCTGACATCTTATCCCCTTCAGGTGTTGTTTACTTTACTCTATTTTTGTTTTTCATTTCATTGTAACATTTGGCGGTTTAGGTCACACAGACGCTCAGACGTTGGCGATGATGCTCCAGGAGCAGTTGGACGCAATTAACAACGAGATCCGTCTTATTCAAGAGGAGAAGCAAAGTACTGAGGCACGAGCAGAAGAGTTGGAATCTCGGGTCGGTAGTATGGAACATATGAACCTATTAGCACGGGGAAGGAGTTTAGAACGGCAAAGTCCACCCCTGAGCGGTCGATCCACTCCTAAATCTCACCATTCACCTCAGAGAGACTACCTCCATAAATACCACACGGTGAGCCATTAAATGGTAGTTTTTGCAAGTTATTTAAATGTTTTTTAACCTAAATATTTAACAGTTCCTTTTCATATTATGCCTACACGTTAACTTATTTCGTTTGGGTTCTTAATTGATATTTATCAAATTATGATAAAAATTCAGACGACAAAAAGGCTCTTGGGTTGGCTTAAAAATATTTCATTAAAAATACTCTATGTACATTTTACCTTATCAGGGCAATAAATCAGTATTTATTTAGTTAAATGCTTAATTTCTTTCAGTAAAACATTTGTAAACCAATCCATGAGTTTTTTATCATCAGAGGTTTGATCATAAATTAATGAATATGGTTCACTCACACGAATTAACGGCTTCATTATTTTTTAATATTTATTTTATTTTGTGCCCAAACGACTATCTTGAATTAAATTTCGTTTTTTTACGAGTTCTTTACAATGTTTCGTTGTTATTAATATAATAATAATAGCTTTAGTAGTTGTTGACCCAGTGATTCTTAAAGTGAGGGTCGCAAGAAATATTAGGAAAAACTAATTAAATATCAGTCAGAACATACATACAACATTTTGTTTAAAAATGTGCTAAAAATAAGTTATTGGTTTTTATTGATACTAGTAATAAGTTTGCTGTTAATCAAAATTATGAATGTTAACTAAGGAAGTTAACTCCTAATTTTAACTAACCCGCCCCCAGGATATTTTTCCTTGGTAGGGGGTCTTCTGAAATTCTTAAGTGCAAAAGGCGATAGTGGACTAAAAACTTTGAGAAGCACTGGTTAAATCTATTTTTTTCCCTAAGAAATTTCACACTCAACATATCCAGTTCATTATTTAATTATTTTAATTTTATTTTTTCTCATTTTGATTTAATTTTAAATGTCAATTTTCGTGTGGAATTTTGGAAAATGTAAGAAACGTTATTCACTGGTCCGGAGTTCTGTCGTGTTGTGTGTTGAGCTGTTGTGTGATGTGTTGTTATAGGCACCAGCTTCAATGTCTCCAGCTCATTTACAGCAGTACCACTCCACCCTGAGCCCCGGTGCTCTTTCAGAATCGCTCCCGACCAGTCAGGTTCGATAAACCAAAATAAATACGTACCGTTCATTGTATTATTTATTATTATATTTATTTGGGTTCTTTTATTTGCTTCTATTTATTATATTTTATTGTGGTCAGGTATACTGTAATCCAAAACACTTTTAGGTCTCTTTTACCTCTTTTGATGTGAATTTAATGTTTTGTTTTATTTCTTCACTAATTTCAAAACACTTCGTTCATTATAATCATTATTTACATTTTGAAATATGTTTTACAATATTTATGGATTATACAATTTTCACTGCTAGGAGGTAATTTAATTTAACATTTAATCAGTTATTAGTTTGTTGTTGGCTTGAAAAGACATGTCACACATACGCTGTACACACATAAAATACTCTTATTAGTAAAATATCGGAAACCTTGGATATTTATCTGCATTTTATGGGAAACGAATAACATTTCAAAGTGCATGTTTTCTGCTTCTTATTCCTGTTATGGTGATATTCAAAGTTTGTACAAAGGAAATATTTTTTGTTTATAGCTTCAGCTTGCTCAGATGAGTTCGGAAATGTCAAGGGAGGAGCTTCATATGGCGGAAAACAGCAGTGGAGGGGCTTCGCCCCTCACCGCCCGATCGTTAAGATTGGAGAGGGTTGCTCAGGCTCTCGCGCATAGTCAAGAGGAGCTGCGAAGGTCAGTTTTAATTTTTATTAACAACCTTTTTTTAACGATTATTTTCATATTTGTATCTTTTGTGCTGCTGATGTGCAGGAGGGCGGGTGTTCACGGAATTCCAGCGACCTACAGGTTGTTCGTTATTTTTCGATTTCTGCTAGTTTTGTGCATTTTGAAAAGTGCTTGTTAGGTTTGTTTGTAGGAAAAAAAACGGCAACATTACAAAAGAATTTCTATTGAGTACGAAAAACGGGAGGTATTATTGCTTATCTTTTGGCAGATTTATTCATTGTCCATTTAAGGCTTTCGTGCTTGCTGTATGTAGTCAAATTCTGACATAAAAGTAGAATATGCCATCAAAATTGCAAATTCGGACTAGAAAAAGTTTTAGATAATAGTTAATTTCTTTAAAGATCAGTTTTGTTTAAATAGATTGTCGCAGTAGTCCTGTAGTTGTAGCGTATGTTTTTGAATGTAACCGTTAGGCAAGGCCAGATGCACACTCCCCCATCACCTATGTCGTCTCGTCATAGCAGTCAAGACAGTCTGCACAAAAACTCGGCAATGGGCATGATGGGAGGCGGACCGGGACCAGGAAAAATGGGAACAATACCAGCCGGTCCAATGTCCACGTCGTCTACGTCCATGATGCCCGGGATGATGGTTATGACGCGAGATATGTCTCCTGCCGTAGCTGCCGCCGCCGCAGCTGCAGCTGCAGCTCAAAAGAAGAAGGGTATCAAGTCGTCTTTGGGCAGATTTTTCAGCAAAAAGGAGAAGGTGCGTGGTAAGAAAATTTATAAACGGTTTGGATACTTTATTGTTTTTGTGCAGGCGAAAGGAAAGGAGGCGATTGGAGATCCGCATTTAAATTTGAGTCAAACTAGCATTGGATTACCAGACGGGGATATTAACGAATCGGGCTCCATTGTAGCGAACAAACTGGGACAGAAGGGCGAATTCGATCGAAGGCAGAAGAAAAAGTATGCCCCAAGCAAACACCATATCGTTGTGGTTTCAATTTTATCTTAACACTTGTTTTTTAACCAGAGAACGGGACTACAGACATGAATTATTAGCAGAAGCGATGAAAGCAGGGACGCCTTTTGCCCTCTGGAACGGTCCCACAATAGTGGCGTGGTTGGAACTGTGGGTTGGAATGCCTGCGTGGTATGTGGCCGCATGTAGGGCTAACGTTAAGTCAGGGGCTATCATGAGCGCACTCAGCGATACGGAGATACAACGAGAGATCGGTATCAGTAATCCACTACATCGATTGAAGCTCAGACTCGCCATACAAGAGGTAATGATTGATTTGATTATTTGATTATTGAATGTAACATATCAATTTTGTAGATGGTGTCCCTCACTTCCCCTTCAGCGCCCAAAACGTCACGAACGACACTTGCGTTTGGTGATATGAATCATGAATGGATCGGGAACGCATGGTTGCCCTCCCTAGGGCTTCCTCAATATCGAACGACATTCATGGAGTGTCTGGTGGACGCACGGATGCTTGATCACTTGACTAAAAAAGATCTTCGTGGGCAGCTCAAAATGGTCGACAGTTTTCACAGGCAAGGCGCGAGGTGTTGTTTAATATTTAATTGAAATAACAGTGTAATTGTAGAACAAGTTTACAATACGGCATATCTTGTCTGAAACGGCTCAATTACGATCGAAACGTTTTGGAAAACAGACGAAAAAATTGCGAAGACTCCAATATCGACGCTCTCGTTTGGAGTAACGATAGGGTGATCAAGTGGGTTTCCAGTATAGGACTCAAAGTATTAAATCGTTCTCTAATTTTGATTTATTATTATAATCTGGAGGTAAAGAGATATTTTAAATTTGCAGGAATACGCCAACAATTTGTTGGAATCGGGAGTTCATGGAGCCCTGCTGGCCCTGGACGAAAGCTTTGATGCTAGCAGCATGGCTTTGGCTCTTCAAATTCCTACTCAAAACACACAGGTTCGTCCTTTATTGTTTATTATTTTTAATGTAGTTCAAATTAATTGTGTGTAAAATAAATTATATATTGAATTTTATTTTTTGTTGCTGTAGGCCAGGCAATCTTTAGAAGTAGAGTTCAACAATCTGTTACGTACTGCGACCGATCGTCGTCCTGACGATATGTCGACACGCTCCTGATACGAGGGATCCGTCTCCGTGACGGCCAGATAATCATCTATGTCGTTTTGCACCCATCATGTCATAAAACTAGAAGAAAAACGATGCAGCAAAAAACCAGCAGCAGCCATTAACGGTTAAACGTTTGACTAATTATTTAAAAGGATGAAAAGAAAAAACAATTTAGGAGTAGTATACGTACGCATATAAATATTAAGAAATATTGCTCTGCGTCGTTCTTTTTTTTTTTTTTTTTCGTAATTTCGGTTTAATCTCTGTTTGACCATCCTTTTGCACCGCGCTGTTAATTTTACAGGAACGTCCCTGTCCCTCCGGATTGCTGTGTCGCCTCATCATATCATCCACCCCCATCTTCCTTTCACGATGTGTATCGTCATGTACGTGTGTTGTGTCGTCGACCCGTCTCTTGTCTGTACATACGTAGTTCGAAAGGAAATTTTGAAAAAAATACGCGGAAAAAGTGGCGAAGGCGACGACAAAAAAGGAACAAAAAGCTTTAATCAATCGTATATCATATTACGTAGGAGTTTGTATGCATAAAGATTACATATATACATATAATATATAAAAAAAGGCGAAAGCAAGAGCGAAAGAACGAGAGAGAGAGAGAGTGAAAGAAAAAAGAATAAACGGAAACGAAACAAAAAACGGTAAATTAATTTTTTCAACTGTTTCATTTTTCGTGCTGATTTTTAAAATGCCACTATTTACGTGTATCTGTAATGATTTTTTATATACTATTCTTATTATTGTGGATATGTAGAGAGAAAATTGGAAAGAAAGCAAGTGAAAAAGAGCACTACCTAATTGTGTATAAGATGATATAGTTAATTGAAGAGAAAAATAGGAACGCATGTACGCTTCCGGTGTTGTCGTGGATCTTCGGAGTTGTTTGGGGCGTAGCCTGTGAAGATATTCTTTCAAATGTGGAATAGGAAATATGTTCTGGCAGTGTTGGGTGAGTTTTTTATATTATCAATTAATGCGCACAAGTTTGATTATCTTTTGCGAATGATGATGCAACTCAATTGAATTGAAGTATTAACTATTAATTGCGCGGTCTTATTAACGAATATTAACTTACTTTATTTTTCTTTACACATATCATTTATGATTTTGTACGCGATGTATGTTTAGTGTGAATGTATTGGCAGCGTAAGTCAGTATTATCGCCTTCCTCCCATTAATATTATATTCCCTTCTTCTATCTCACCCTATTATTCGATCGCAAAGCTGTAAACATTTGTGTGTGCCTATTGTTAACGGTGCTGCCACTTGTTGAACGTGCTTTGTTTTATTTTTATTAAGGGTGCGATATCCAAGTGATGTAAATTATACGTTTCTTACGTTGATTTATCATTAATAATTTTGAGTTTTTCTCGTGAAAAGAGAAGGCGCTTCTAATGCAAAATTAACGAAAGAAAATGTGTTCTGGCCGATATTAAGACTTTAGAAAAAATTAAAATAATGATAATAAACGAGAGGAATTCATCTCTTTCGGTTAATGTTTTGGCGTCTGGGAAACTTCTGGACGTCCTTGCGAATTTTATTTTGTAAACTAACAATAAGGCAGTAACATACATTCCCATTATCTCAAATAAAATACATAACTTATAAAGATGTGACTTACGCTTTGCACAGTTCCAACTGAAGTTACCGTTTATATTCTAGTTTCGTAAGTTTGTTGTTATTTTTTTTATACAAACATTATAGTAGCTTATATAATTTATTGTTTTTTTTACGATTCATATTAAACATAGAATAATTGTTTTATTAAGACGATTGTTACCAATATCTTATTACATATTGCTTTTGCTTTCTCTCGATTTCATTTCAATTGAAATTCGCAAACTCGAAATGGTCTTTCCCAGGCGCCTCGATAGATTTACTGGGAACGCTGTCTCGTCTCCTGAGATTACATTCCCACCTGAGCTATCGTTTGTCTTTCCTTTTCTGTCTGTCGTGACCCCGTTTTTTTTTTTTTTTTTCGTATATTAAAGACGTACAGAAGCGTGTAAAATATTAAATAGGTAGTGGTAATGTTTATAATAATTGTTGAGTCATTAAATTGTAGTTAACACGAATTAATTGTTGTACATATATAGTTTTTTATTATTATTATAATTAATTGAGAAGAAACAAAAATATCGATGCGGATGCGCTATTGGTACAAGCACGTGTAAACGTGCGTTTGTTTACGTAAAAACTTCTTCAAATTTTAATAGTACTATTATTAATATCATTATCATGAAGAATTACTGAAAACAGAAATTAATAGGTAATTACGTACAAACGCACAGAAAGACACGTCCATGTATACGTATAAATAATGAAAATGGGTAGACGCTGGTTTGTGTATTTCGATGCATTTCTGTATTACCTAAACCTACCGCAAGTTTTTGTACGATTTGTATAGCATTTTTAAATAGTTATTTATTTCGAGCTACGGATAACAAGATCTATATATAAATAATATATATACATATATCTATAAATATTATACATATTATATTATTATTATTATCATCATTGTTTTATGAATTTATGTACAACCTTTCAACCGATATTATCAGGTTCGTATTATAAAATTGGCTGTGGGAAATACCCTAACGGAGGCGAATTTACTAAAACATTTTAGTCATTTAGGAATAGTAGGTATTAAGAGGGGGCGAGTTTACTCGAACTTAAGTTGTTAACTGCTCCTGCGAGTTAGATAACCAACATAACAGTAGTGTATTGGAGGAAAAAGTGTATGCTAATGTCAATATCCCCTCGAATATTGAAAAATTAGTAAATGTTGCTTTTGGGGGATGAAACAATGTAATATAAGTGTACATTGGATATTATTTATTAAATATTACAATTATAAATCAAGTTATAATTTAAGAGAAGAAAATTTGTTTAATTTACTCTTGACTCATAATTGTTATGTTTAATAAATAACTTCTAAATAATTACATTATATTGTTCTCTTTCAAAAATCGGCATTTATTAATCGTTGTTTGATCATTGGTAAAGGCTAAATTCGCCAACATTTACTGTAAGGTGTACATTAATTTCGAAAACATTCGAACTTGAAAAACAAAATTATTAATGAAAATCACACTCATAAGTAAAACAATTTATTTGTAAAATTAACCAAATTGGAGTAACTATTTAGAAGTACATATTAAGCAATTACATAAATAAAAGAAAAGTTACGCACCAACAACATGGAGGAAAAAGGCGCAAATTTGTACTACACAAACCATAACGTGTACATTTAAACTTTAAAATGCAACTTTGAACTGCCTCTGAAATGATTACAAAAAAGTGACGTTATAGACACATACATGACTTTATTAATCAACCACCTTTCGACTTAAGTGCTAATAATAATGATAACACTGAATACAGTACACATTTTTATTTTATTACTTTATCATACATTCTTTTTATCGTGTAACAATTACAAAATTACAAAAAGACAAAATAGTACTAACAATAAGACCCCAGAAAATACATATACAGAGCATCCACCAAAAGAAAGCCGTTATCCTGTTAATGTATATATATATATATAGTAACTCTTCCAAAATTTTTACAACAAAAAGCGTAAACGCGATCAACAATTTATTAATATTATTTTACAAAAGCACTCGTGAGCTTTTCGCTTTATGCCAGTTTACGTATGTTTACATTTCAAAGGTGTACACCGGATTGATTGTGTGACCTTAGCCCAACCAAATGCTTCAGAAAAAAACGTGCGCTTTACTGCTTTTTGATCCGGAATATGATCTGATCGTGTCGTATTGTAACAATTACCGTTCACGTTTTAAAAAAGTGAAAGTGAATATGACCGTTAAGTTAAAGTATAAAGAAAATTAATCGTTAGTCATGTCCATTGAACCTCAAGAGGCACCCTACAGCTCCAAAATAACCTTCGTGCTCTAAAAACAGCGCCTTCATTGTCCCATTTGACCAGTAATCCATTGCGTATGCAAGCATCTTCATTGAAATTGGATTAACTCGAAGAAAATTGCCTATGAAAACCACCTGAGAAAAATTATAAAAAATATAAAGAAATAAAACGAAACAATAATCATACCCTGTCGATGTGTTCTTGGAGAGCACACATTCGTGCTATAGACCCTATGTTATTGGTGATGGTAACGAGCGTGGCACGAGCCAAGTCCTCACGGCTAACTTTGCTTCGTTTCTCTCGTGAGTTCATCTGACCAAAACTGCAGACAGCCGAAAAACTTCAAATAGGAGCCGACAAAAGAAGCGACAGAGGACAGAGAAACAGAGGAAACAAGAAAAAAAAACAAAGCTCTACAAAAGGTGAACGTGCATGTTTGGAGAAAAAAAAACATTAATCGAATTAAAGAAGGCGTAAGGCATAAAAGAAGTTCAGTACATTATTGTACAATAAAAAAAATAAAAGGAAACAATTCTTTACAAGTGGAGAGCACAATTGCAATAACATAATACAAAGCAAACAGACAAAGTAAATTAATTTACCTGCTGGCTACTAGGTCTCCAGGTAAACCAAATCTTTCGTAATCACCCCCATAAATATCTCTCACTAGCTTGTCGACGTTAGTATTGTCTCCACCGGCTGCGAGTTCTATGGCTTCCTCAAAAGTATTGCAGCCTGTTAAGAGACAACATAGACCTAGAAAAGTGCCCCCTCCTATACTAAAAGATGCCAGAAGGACAATTAAACAACTGTAATATTAAAGGTGGACCTTTTTTACCTGGTACCAGTAACCCGCTTGTAATTATTAGGCCCGTAAACGGCAAGTATGCTTACACCTGAACCGATATTGACCAGGAGGAATGGATATGGATTGGAAAAGTCATAACTAGACTTTGAGCACTTTTCCATTTCCGTCGGATTAGCCCAATAATAACATTCATTGGGATTGTGCGTGTCAATGTACTGGATACCGCTTATTAAGGAATCGAATTCGTCGAATTTGGCCAGTTTTAGATTCACTTCCTTCCAAATAAAAAACAAAAAAAAAAGAGGATAAACAAAAACGTTATGCATAAATCATTTTGTACCTTCCTAAAGTCATTTTCAAACTTGTAGGCGCCCCCTCCTGTAGCAGAGACGGTTGTAACGAGAGTCGCCATTCCTTTTGACTTGGCCAGCGCAAGAAAATTCCCCATTTCGCAGGTTGGGAATCGTATGAAATGCAGAGTGCCTCTTCTGCCTCGCAACGGCACATTATCCAGCTGATGAAACTGTATAATAGTATAATACGAAGAAAAAGTCCAAATTTTTACCTGTAAATGCATATCTCTGTGACCTGTCTTCCCGTAAGCGGAATGTTTTGTTAAATACTTTCTAATGTTCCGCAAGATTTCAATTTCGGAATCAAGTTCGTCTCGAGTGATATCTTTCGGTTCAAAATAGACCAACTTGCACAATGTGCCCCCGATATCCATACCAAACCAGGGCATCGCTGTGAACAAGCCGTTTCATGTTAAGATGTTATAAAGATAAAAAGAAAAAATGTCAATAATTACAAAAGTAAAAAGAAACGTCTATCAGTCACGTTCACCTCCAAACATAACCATTTGTCCGAAGGTCATTCATATTTATATTAAGTAAATAGCTGATTAGAAAAATGAGCACTCACCGTTGTTAACTGCTAAATACTTGGAGGTAGCCAAAATAAGTGAATTTTTGCAATAGAGCACCCGACAACATGCCATTTTTTGTACAAAATGCATACTCTTTTTCTTCTTATTTTTAACGCGAGTATTACATTGTCGAACTATTGTAGATACTTACGATTAAAATAACAATTCAATATAAACTGCAATTTTATCATTTTTGCTTTTAATCAAAGTAGAATTTCAATTACATGACTAACAGATAACATAATTTAACTGACTGGTATTGTATATGTGCCTAGTATTTTGCATGACCCTACTGAAAGTCTATGTATAATTTAACTCATTTTGTTACAAAATGTGAGACAGCAATATAGGTATTTGAGTATTTCACGATAACCTTGTTTCTTGGGAAACATGGCAGTAAAGACAGAGGCCTTCTTATTTAAAAAATGGATTTTATATAACAAATTCACATGAATACTTACGTACGCCGTCTGTGTGATCGTCTTTTTCTGCTCCATTGACACACACTTCGTTCTGTTTCTTTTTCACCTGAGACATGTCTTTTTGAGTTTTGATTGCTAGCACATGGAGCCATACTTCAAAACTAAAAGTCACAAATCACAAAAAATTATTTAATTGCAACTTAAAAAAATTACTTCAAAATGACCCTGACCTTTTGAACTAAAGACTGTATCATACATTTATTTCTAAGTTTAATCTAGAAACAATTGCGTACTCACCCGACAACATTTTAATAAGTGCTTATAATATAAAACTTAATATTTCCACAATAACATTATTTGTAAAGCGACTGCACGTTACATAATAAATCAAAACTTAATCAACAATGTCCATCCAGCTTTAGTATATAGTTTTTTTTCCAAGTTCAAGTTTAGTTAACTATTAGTTGTTGAGCAACAGCAGCGTATATATATTTCAATTATGCACCGTTTAGAAATTGATTAAGTAATTAACATATTTTGTACGTACTGACTAATGATTACAACTATATAGTAATCACGCCATTTCTATGTGTGTTGCCTATGTTAACTCGTTTTTCGATTGGTTTGGTTAGTGATTGCTACCTCTACTTTTTAAATCAAGTTGAGTTTTAGGTAATAAAGTAAATTTTAATTTCGGAGGATTTGTTAAATTACTCTACGTATTTTAACCTCTTTTATTTATATGAAGTAAGTTTTATACTGACATATTTATAAGTTATACTTGTGCGAATTTATACAACGTAAGAGTTATAATGATAAAATTATTAAAATCAATTACTTCAAATACATTATAATTATAATTTCGGTGTTTAAACATTGTAACACTATATAGTTATGTTGTATACTAAAAATTGCTTTAAATTAATTTAAAAAAGAAAAAATTATATCATTCGGCTGTAGCCTAAACACTTCATCTATAGTTATCTATGATCTGAATCATATCTATCCATTGTATCTATCTCATAACAGATTTCTATGGTAAAAGGCAACGCCCAGCCACGCCAAGACGCCATTTAATAATTCTCAGATTTATGTGTTATTCGGTTTGCCTTTGTTTTATTTCAAATATGATTTGATAGTATATGCAGTTAATTCGTTTTTCTTACTGTTTCCTACAGGTTGATGTACAAACAAAAGGGCATTGAAGTAAATTTGGAACCTCATGGATCAACAAATTGTCTACAAAGAATTCCTGAATTTCACTGCCTGCTGAATTCTTCACTTTGGACCATTTTAGGCCTACAAGGGGAGCACATTGAAGTTTCTTTGGATCTCACTGAAACAAGTTTTCTACAATAGAAGTACTGAATTTCACTCGCTTGAAATTTCTTCACTTTGGATGGATAAACATTAATCTTTGACTGTGGCAAAAGCACATTCAACTTTATTTAATTAAGGTGAGAATACATAACAATTAATATTAATTGCTCGTTATTAATCTGTTACCACTGTATTTGTTTCAGATGGACGTTGGAGAGGACAAAGATGACCCCGTAGTTGAAACAGTTCTTTATCTTGCATGCTCTATCTAGTAGAATTCATAAAGTTAATTTTATTCAAATTAATTTTTTATTTTGCATGCTTATTTTTGTTCATTTTATTTGAAGTAATTGTTGATTGTTAATGTTTTTGTTTTTTTTTATATGTAGTAGTGGTACTTCTAAAACACTTTTAGTAGTTGTAGTATAGTCTAACATGTCTCTTGCTTACCTCTTCGCTTAGCTTACTGCATATTCTTACTATAAATTGCTTTGCATTTACCCTACGAGTTCTACATGATTCAACGTTTCGTTATCGTGTGTGTTTCTTCTCACCCTTGTGGAATTAGGGAGGGCCTCCCCGAACGACTTCCCTTGGGCTTAGCTATTTAGTTGATCTTAAAAGTGTCTTATACACTTTTCGCGAGTCTACTCTAGCGTTACTTCCTTTCAGACAGGGTACAGTGGGTTATCTGGAATAGGAGCAATAGGCGACTGCCCAGCTTGCCTTGGCGAAATCTGTCCGATCTTCTCTACCAAAACTATTAGTATTTGCCGTTAGTCCTGTTAATTTTGCACTATTTGCTTTCAGATAATGACG